AGATCCGTGGAGTCACATGGGTTGGGTTGGAAGGGACCTGAAAGATTATAGAATCATGGAAGGATTGGGTTGGAAGGGACCTGAAAGGTCAGAGATCCATGGAGTCACATGGGATGGGTTGGAAGAGACCTTGAAGCCCATCCGGTTCCAAGCCCTGCTGTGGGCTGGTTGCCACCCACCAGACCAGGTTGGTTCGGTGACACCTGACCCCGATGTCTTCTTCTGAGAGGAGCAGTTTGTGTTAGTGCTTGCAAGTTGCCAGCTGCTGAGCTGCCCTGGCAGCAATGTTTACGTTTCGAGGAAGGGGAAGTTTTCCTCTGCCCTTTTTCTGCAGCTGCAGCTTCATTCTCTCCCGTAACGGTGGTGGAAAGTCACTCAGCTGGTTCTGCAGTTCCATGGGAAGAAGACAGCACAGCATCTGGGGGGAACAACAGCTGAAGCACAGCTGAGCTGAGACCCAAGGTGATTCGGTGTCTTCTCTCCCTCCAGGAGATGTGTTGGTGATGGATGAGCTCGGCTACATGTACTTCAGGGATCGCAGCGGAGACACTTTCCGATGGCGAGGAGAAAACGTCTCCACCACAGAAGTGGAAGGGATGTTGAGTCACATCCTCAACCAGACAGACGTCGCGGTGTACGGAGTGGAAGTGCCAGGTAACGTCTCAAGTCAGAATTCTCAAGCTTTAGGGAGAAGAGAAATAAGAAAACTCACCAAATGTGCGTCACGCTGCGGGGTGGGTAGAACTTGGTAACCTCTACTGAAACCAGGCACCTGAAAAGGAGAGGATGGAATAGAGGCCAGAAGGGAGTTTGATGCTGTTGCATTCGTTCTGAGCGGTAGGAATCACCTGAGATGTGGGCGTAAGGGAAATCCTCCAGGCCCCCAGCATCTCTGCAGCCTCCGCTGGGCTCAGTTCCCCATCAGCCCTGACCTGGGGAGCCCAGCACTGGGCCCAGTGCTCCAGACAGGGCCTCCCCAGTGCAGAGCACCCAGCTGGCCACGCTTTGGGCAGTGCATCCCAGGGTTCTGTTGGCCTTCTTGGCCACCAGGGTGCCCTGCTGGCTCATGATCAACTGCCACTCAACCACTGGTCAACTGTTGGTCAACCACTGGTCAACCTGTTGGCCGCCATTGGCCTTCTTGGCCTTCAGGGCGCACTGCTGGCTTGTGGTCAACCATTGGCCACCAGGACCCCCAGGTCCTTCTCTGCAGAGCTCCTTTCCACTGCTCAGCCCCATCCCGGACTGATGCATGCTGTTTTTCCTCCCCAGGTGTAGAACTCTACACTCGCTCGCGTTGAGCCTCATCAGGTTCCTCTCTGCCAAACTCTCCAGCCCATATCTACACTTGAATCTCTCCAATATTTCATGCTTAACTCATGCTACCTTTTTGTGTCTCCACCTCTTTTATTTCAGGGGTGGAAGGAAAAGCTGGAATGGCAGCAATCGCAGATCCTAAAACGAAAGTGAACCCCAACATTCTTTACCAGGAGCTCCAGAAAGTTCTGCCTTCCTACGCCCGGCCCATTTTCCTCCGTCTTTCACCCCAGGTTGACACCACAGGTAGGTGCAATCCCCATCTGCTGCCCTCGGCCAACTTTTAGCTCAAAGGGGGAACTTTTATTTGGCAGCGAGCTGAGAAAGCAGCCCTCAGGCAATGCGCTGTAACTGGAGCTGCTTGGTTGGCTGCCATCCATCTTCTGCCAGAGGTTGCGTAATGAAATCCTCTCTTGTAGTCAACAAATGCCATGAATAAAAGCCAGAGCTCAGTCTTAAGCCAGCAAACAAGCTCGTTACAGGCTTTAAAACTGAAGCACAGCGGGAAGAAAGCTCTCTGAAATGGTATCCGTGTGGCTGCGCAGGAGCTCTGCGTGCACAGAGCTCTGCTGAGAAAAGAGGGGAGGAGGTTCTGAGCCCCCCTCACTCTGTGCTGCACATTCTGCTGCCTTTCATGGGCCATTGCGTGGTCCTGTTCTGGTCACACCGTGTCTGCATGCCCTTAATTTTGCTTGTAGCGCAACCAGCAGCCACGGCAACAGGAGATGCTTTGGCTGCTTGCTTTGGTGCTTTAAATATCCTGGGGTTGCAGAGAGCTCTTCCCATTTTCTGGGAATCCGCAGAGCCCTTCCAGTTTTCTGGGAATCCGCAGAGTTTTTTCCATTTCCTGGGAACTCCAAGAGCCACTCCGTGTCTTCGGAGAAGTAAAAACTGCACGAGCTTCACATGGGAACACGGTGGCAAACAGAATATTTGCAAATTCTTAAGCAAAAATCTGACTGGAAACGAAATGCGACGTTTTTCTCTCACGGCGTTTCGGATACGAAGCGTCTCCTTCAAAACATTTTCTCCTTTCTCCCTTCTCTGAAGGCACTTTTAAGATCCAGAAGACCCGGCTGCAGAGGGAAGGCTTTGACCCCCACCAGACATCGGACCGGCTGTATTTCCTGGATGTAAAGCTGGGCAAATACGTTCCGTTGGACGAATGCCTTTACGCCAGGATTTGCTCCGGGAAAGTCGCCTTGTGATCGAGCCTGGATCAAACCTTGAAGAAGGCGGCGAGGAAAACGATGATTCACTGGAAAGATGAGGCTTGTGGGAAGCTGATACGCAACGTGAGACCCTCCGACAGCGAAAGCACCAGCAGGGAAACCCCCCTCGGGGTGTCGCCCTCACCTAAAGCACATTAACCAGCCAGCACTGACCCATTAACCCGCTGCCGCGCCGATAGAGGGCTTTTTGTGACTGCTCCCCGCTGCTCTGCTGTCATGGCAGAGGCTCTGTGGTGACTTTTACGGCGGGTTTGTTTGTGCTCCGGCTGCGGGCTGTACTTAACGAGTTAGGCTTTTAACAGAGCAGTCTTTAATTGCGTTAGGTCACGGTTTTTACCTTAACGACGCCTGGAAATCTCACACGTGCCGAGCCCTCGGGGCTGGGAGTTACGGACATGAGGGGTTGAGGCCTCTGAGCTCGGAGCAGGCTTTGGGGTGCAGGGAGGTGGATGGAGGGCAGCCGTGCTGTGAGTGAGGAAATGTTAATGAGTGCTGCTGAGCAAGCTGTGATGTGTTTTCATTGCTTGGGGGGGCACGGGAGCCAGGCGAGAGTTAACACAGAGGGACGGCTGCGCGCAGCGTCTCCTTCCACTGCTTCTCGCCGAAGGTGAGCCGGGCTGAGGCTGCGGGCGCGGGGCTGAAGCCCTCACGCAAAGCCCAGGCCTCAGCCCTCGACTAGGCCGCAGGTTGCTAGGCAACGCGCAGCACTTCCGCCTTTCCGAAGCCGCCTTCGGCGCACTCCCCCCACTTCCGCCTCCATCTGTGACGTCACATCCGGCCTCCGCTCCCCCACTTCCGGCCTCCGCCGCTCCCCGCTTCCGGCCGCCGCCATGCCGGGCCGCATCTCGGTGTTCCCGTCCCCGCAGGAGCTGGGCTCGGCCCTGGCGCAGCTCGTCGTGCAGCGGGCGGCCGGGAGCGGCGGCCGCTTCTCTCTGGGTCTGTCCGGAGGCAGCCTGGTGGGGCTCCTGGCCCGGGAGCTGCCCTCAGCCGCCTCCACCGGAGCCGCCAACGGGGCGGGCCCGTGGCTCTTGGCCTTCTGCGACGAGCGCCTGGTGCCCCCCGAGCACCCGGAGAGCACCTTCGGGGCGTACCGGGCTCAGCTGCTGCCGCGGCTCCCGGCGCCAGCCCCGACGGTCCTCGCTGTCGCTCATGGGCTCTCTCCGAACGCCGCGGCCGCGGATTATGCCGAGAGGCTGCGAGAGGTACCGGGGAGGGGAGGGGAAGTGAGGGGGAGGAAGGGGGCGAGGAGAGGTGAGGGGGGAGGGGTGGTGAAGGCGGGGCAGAGGGGGGCGGGAAGGCGGGGGGCTTCACGAGGAGGCGGGACCCCCCCCCCTCCTTCTTCCTTCCCCGTGTGAGGAGCTGGGATCCCCCCTCCCCTATATGTGGAGTGGCTCCCCCCATCTTTTTCCTCCCCTATATGAGGAGCTGGAATCCCCCCCCCCCCCCACTACCTTTCCCTCTGCCAGGAGCCGGGGGTCCCCAACACAAGGACATCCTTCCCCAGGATTTGGGAGAATCTCCTCTCCCCCTTCCTCCAAGATCTGGGGGACTCCCCCCACCACCACCCCCCTGTTTCCCCCAGGATTTGGGGGACTTTTTTCCTCCCTTCTACCCCCCAGGATTTATTCCCGCGGATCCCCCCCCCGGGATTTGGAAGACTGTCCCCTCCCCATTTCCCTCCCCCCCCAGGACCTGGGGAGCTCCCACTCCCCGCCTTTCCCTCAGGATTTGGTGAACCCCTCTCCTCCCCCCAGGATTTGAGGGACTCCTTCCCTCAGGATTTGGGGAGCTCCCCCCACAACCCTCCCCCCCTGTTCCCCCCAGGCCTTCCATGGCGATGCTGTGCCCGTCTTTGACCTGCTGCTCCTGGGCCTGGGGCCGGATGGCCACACCTGCTCCCTGTTCCCCAACCACCCCCTGCTGCAGGTGAGTGTGTGTTGGGGTGGAGGGGGGAAGGAGGGGTTAAAAGCATCTCCGCCTTCTCCCTTTACTTTGTTCCAATTTAGTTTTTAATCCGTCGGTTTTAATGATTCTCGATAGGAGAAAGAGAAAATCGTGGCTGCTATCACCGATTCCCCGAAGCCGCCGCCGGAGCGCGTGACGTTGACCCTCCCAGTGCTGAACGCCGCACGCACCGTGGTGTTTGTGGCCACGGGGGAGGGCAAAGCCGCCGTCCTAAAGGTTGGGGACTCCGTGGGGAAAAGCTTTGCTGCCCCCTGCAAGGATCTGATTGCGTTGTGGTGGCACGGAGGTGTTTTGGGATGGGGTTGGGATGGAGCTTTGTGGTTCTCTTTCTTAGTAACTCCTCTGTGGTGAAATGGAGTCGTTTTGGGATGGGGTTGGGATGGAGCTTTGTGGTTCTCTTTCTCAGTAACTCCTCTGTGGTGAAATGGAGTCATTTTGGGATGGAATAACTCCTTCTGTAGTAACTCCTTTCTTAGTAACTCCTCTGTGGTGCAGTGGAGCTGTTTTGGGATGGGGTTGGGATGGAGATTTGTGGTTCTCTTTCTTAGTAACTCCTCTATGGTGAAATGGAGCTGTTTTGGGATGGGGTTGGGACGGAGCTTTGTGCTTCTCTTTCGTTGTAATTCCTCTGTGGTGCAGTGGAGATGTTTTGGGATGGGGTTGGGATGGAGCTTTGCGGTTCTCTTTTGTGACAATTCCTTGTGTGAAACTGAGGTGTTTTGGGATGGAGCTTTGCGGTTCTCTTTCTTAGTAACTCCTCTGTGGTGAAATGGAGTCATTTTGGGATGGAATAACTCCTTCTGTAGTAACTCCTTTCTTAGTAACTCCTCTGTGGTGCAGTGGAGCTGTTTTGGGATGG